TATTAAATAAATTTTCTCCTTCTAGAATACACAACTCTCGGTGATTTCCTTCTACGAAGTGGATTACAGCTTCGATCTGCCGTATCTGCAAAAATCCATTGCCGAATCACATGCCGCCCTCAAGTCAATTGTTCAACGCCCCCTCACCGACAAGTCTTTAAATCGCATCGATGAAGTATTTGATTTTTTTGGTGATGCTTCACTCCTTGAAACCGCCTTCAAACCCGATTCGCCATATCGTGAATTAATGGGAAAAATCGTCAGCGATATTAATACTGCCATGGAAACAGGAGATATGTAAGTGAGTGTGCGCGGCATAGGGCCGCCATTTTTTTTTTTTTTTTTTTTTTGTAAAAGACACTATAATTCGCTTTAGACTCATCACATCTCTCGTCCAAAGGACTGCAAAGTACAGAAAAGTCCGAAATATGCGCGTGTGTGCGTGTAAAGGCAAATAGTGAAAGGCTTAAATGATATCTAGGTCATTAGAGAATTGCAACAACAAACCAAAAATAAAGTAATGTAATAAATTAAAGAACTTTTATCGAATACGCTTGTTTTAATTTATATGTATGTAATAAAATAAAAAGAAACCTGTCGATCGATGATGATAACGGCAAAATAATGAAATGCGCACTGTGTTGTATTGTGAAGTGTTTGATGATGGCGTTCATGACGATGATGATGATGATGTAGATGTCGCATGATTGTGCTAATAATGCACGTAGATACATTGTATTTTTGATGCTATTGTCTAAGCATTCTAATGTTAACGTCGTTATTGATAATGACCAATGATAGCACTGACGATAATATTTATTATATAGAACTAGCAAATCTGACAATTGAATTTTTTATCGATTGTTTTTCTATAGTGATATTAAGTAAAAAAAAAAAAATATATAAGCACAGAAAATCTTAAAGCAAAGAATTTGCGGCAGTGCTGAACAAGAAACAAATAAAATGAATGTAAATGAAAAGAAAGTGAGAGATACATATGTACATTAGGGTGGTCTTTAAAAATCAAATGTACGATTTCTTCCAGTATCATCCCTTCAATCGGTAATAGCACTGTCGCAGATATCACATATAAATTTTGGTCCCGATTGGAGACGGTTGAGGCGTGTCGCACAGGGCGCAAAGTGCAGACTCCTATATAGAGACTCAAAAAATTTAAATTATTATTTTTTTTTATCTACTACCCAAAATCGATGCTACCATAGTCAAAGATATCACATATACATTTTGGTCCCGATTGGAGTCGGTTACGGCGTGTCGCAAAGGGGTCAAAGGCCTCTATGGACTCAAAACATTAAAAATATTTTTTGTAACTTAATACCCAAAATCGATACTACTAAAGTCGAGGATATCATATTTAAATTTTGGTCCCGATTGGAGTCGGTTAAGCCGTCTTCAAAGGGTAATCTGAAGTTTGACCCCTGTGCGACACGCCTTAACCGACTCCAATCGGTACCAAAATTTTGTATGTGATATCTGCGACTACGGTAGTATCGATATGAAAAAAAAATAATCCTAATGTTTTGAGGTCTCCATAGAGGAATCTGAACTTTGCCCACTGTGCGACACACCTTAACCATCTCCAATCGGGACCTACCAAAATTTATGTGAATGTGATATCTTCGACTATAGTCGCGTCAACGTAAGGATTGAGGCTTAGGAAATTTGATTTAAGAATTTGCTTCCTACATTTAAGGACCACCCTAATTTAATTAAATTTTTAATTTAAATTTAATTTTTTATGATATGGAAAATATTTCTTTTATATTCAAGAAGATAAGCTTTGTTTAAGGGAGATATAATGGGTATACTTTTCGAATACCATATGCGCATGCAATATAATACATTTCGCATACAGTAAAC